TAACACCCCATCAAGTCTTGATATTTTTTTGTGTGTTTGAACTTTTGATTCAGTATATGGATAAGCCTCCAAGAGGGAAGCACTCAACAAAAGGCTTGGGCAAGAAAGTACCACTGGAATCGGATTATGTGACATGGAAAGACGATGTGGTTGTACCTTGTGGAAAACCGGTAGCATCAAAAGTCAAGGCATCGGAGCTCATGTACAATGAGTATATCGTCTATAATACAGCTCAGGTAAACCCCTACTTTCACATATACAAACTCCATTCGGGTATTAGAAAAAATTATATATATTTTTTGTTTGCTCAATCAAGGTTTATCTCATTAAAACTGTAAATGAAGCAAAAACAAATAAAGATAAAAATAACAATAACAAAAAACCAATCATGATAGTATTCGTTTCATCTCACACAATCCCTCTAACACGAATAAATATTAAACGTAGTCATTATATATTTTCCAACAAAAGATATTATTCGTGCATTCACATATTTCTAGCTAACACTCGTATCATTTAGTATTTAACTATTTTTATATCGCATCAACTTTATTCATTAAATTTTTATTTTATATCCGTTCACAATCTCAAATCTATCACATTTTTTTTCCTGAAACAAAATTTCCACTTTTTGTATATTTTCAGTTTTTTTCAGAGAAAATCTTATATCCAACTGCATTACTTGTAAAATAGGGGGTGATTGGTAAAGGAGTATCAGTAAAAATCGATTTTGATTGGGTCCATTTAATTATTTTGAGTAAAGTTGATTGAGTGGGACGACAAAGATTATAATTAAATAATATTCAAAATGTAATGATTAAAATTGATGTGATGTAAAAGTAAGATAGAGGTGTTTGAAAATGATAGATAGTTAAAAATATGTGAGTTGATGAATAATGAATTAATGTTGATGCGTTGTAAGAGATAGATGATTGATATTATTTAATTATATTGATAATATTAAGGATAGTGAGGTTGAGTTTAATTTGGGTTAGATTTTGGCTCAATGAGTAAAAAAAAAAATTATGTTCGATTATGACTGCTTACCAGTCACCTGACCTCCTTATATTTTCTCGCGCAAACAAACAGCTGAAGTCTTTCTCCGCTTTGAATTTGGTTCGACTTTTTATGCAGGTGAAAATGCAGTTTCTATTGAAGGTGAGGTTTCATCACAAAAGATGATCTATCTTTCCAGATAGTTGGTGTCGTTTAAAGAAAAACCTTGCCGTTTTGTGTGAAGTGTTTTTGATCTAGCCCGTGGAATTTCATATGATATCACCTTTCAGTTTTATCGGATGTCCCCGAAGGGACTGATATCACCTTTCAGTTTTCTACGGAGATTTTCGTAATTTGGTATCCGTTAGGTCTCGTTTTGGGGTTTGCCAGGAGATCTAACTCACTGTTTGGGGTCTGTTTAACTGGGGCTTGTTTTGATGGATTTTCAAGATATTTTAACTGTGGTTTATTTTGATGGATTTCCAAGATAATGTGATACTTTTTCCCTAAAGCAGACTATCAAACTTTTATATGTTTAAATTTTCTTAAGTTCCACGAAAATTCAAATTCTGGCCTTTGTTTTGGTACAATGATTCACTAATAGTTTATGAGATATGGCCTAATTTTCATTTTTTTTTTTTTTCTTCTTCCTTTTAAGATTGAGGATATGGTGGCTTATAGGGGAACATTATTGCCTTTCGAATAAGATAACATAACGTTGTTCAAACTTTCAATCCAAATCTTCCCTAAGTCAATAAATTTAGTTTAAAACTCTTGAGGGAGAGCTTTGCCATCCTTGCGGTCCTACTCGGCTCGATTCCGGATTAGTCGGTTCCCCTGTGGTTTCGGAAACCGGAAGTTTAAAAAAGTTACTTTCCATTTCGTATTTTAGTAAAAAAATAATCTAAAAAAATTCCAAAAGGTTTATACTTAAAAAAAAAATCATAAATTCCTGTCCAAAGCACATTTAATGACTTTTAAAAAAATAAATTTGAAATTCGGCACAAACCGGCTATGTTGTTTAAATTAGTCAATATTTGCTTTTCCATATGTATCTAACAACAAAGCCTTTTCAAAGTTTGGAAATACTCTCATATTATGTTATGCAAATTCTTACTATTATTTGATTTACATAAAAATGAAAAACGCCGTGAAGGAGTGTAATCCTATATCCTTAAATATTTAAATGAAATATAGTCGCATTGTGAATATTGTACATAAAAAAAAAAACACCGTATGTAATTGCAAACAAAAGCAAATACTCTAAAATAGAATATTATCGCATTTCAATATTGAAATTCGTGTGTATAATTTTTTTTAAGAAATAAATCGTTTCATTTGAAAAACAATTTGCTTATTTTGGTTATTACCAATCTTATTATTTAAAAAAATTGTCGATTGTTTAATGTATTAATATAAAGAGACAATCATATGTAACTGAAATAATATTAAAAAAGTTCATGAAATTCCCGCTAAAAAATTTCAAGACTTACCAAATTTGGTAATTTTGTTTGAAAATCTTTGAAAAATCACGCATAAATGTCTTTAAAATTATTAGGAAAAAAAAAAAAATTAAACCCAAAGAGTTAAATGAAATGATCACGTGGTGGAGATTTTGATCGGTATAATATTTATATTAGTATGAATGTGTCTGGGGTTAATATATTTTTAAAATAAAGTTAAAGAAAAATATAAGTAACAGGCCCGTTCGTGCATCGCACGAGATAGCTCACTTGTTTATTTGGTAAGACAAACTTATTAAAAAAATTTAAGCTTATCTCATATGCTTTTTTAAGTAACTTTTAAAAATTTATAAGTTCGTTGAAATTTTTGCTTCAGTTCATTTATTACCTAATTTTATCAACCACTTCTATCATATTAGTCAGTTCTTTTAGCTATTAGCCATTAACTATTAGATATAAGCTCAAAATTCATTTATAAGCTATCAACTAACTTATCGACCATCAACTAGCTTATCAGCTAGGTTTACAAAACATAGTTGTAATACCTTTTGAGAAATCTCATATCACTTAGGCTGTGTTTGGTAAGCATAGAAGCTAACTTATACCTTATTTGATTTACTTATAAGTTTCATATTTTTTTTAAAAAAAAAAAAGTTTCATATATTCAAATAAGTTTAGTTTGGTAGGACGAACTTATCTCATAAACTTTATTGGGTAGTTTTTCGAATCAGGCCATTGAAATCTTATTTCAGCTAGTTTATCAACTAAATTTATCGAACATTTCTATCATATAAGCTAGTTTTATAGCCATAAGCCATAATCTATCATCTATAAGCTCGAAATTCACGTAAAACCTATAAGTTATTTTATCAGTTATAAACTAACTTATCAGCTAGGTTTACCAAACACAGTCTTATCATATTTGTTACCCACAACCCTATTTTAAGAACCCATGAGATTCGACTGCCTAAAGCTTCAGCCGATCAATCGTTCGAGTTTGGTAATCTTGAAGAGACTGTGAAGTCGAAAATAAAGTGATGCAATCACTGTAAGATTGCATAAGGGCTATTGATAATTTATTTGCGCATGAATTTGGATATTTGTATGTATTTATTTGATAATTGAATTATGGAGTTGCAATAAAAATAAATTCGTTCTTTTTTTATAATAGGTATTTATTTGATATTAATTCACAAAAGGTAAACTAAATCAACTCGGATTTAGGATGATGTATCGAATTGCATTTAAAAAAAAAAAAAAAAAAAACTCATGTATTTATATGCAAACTTTAAAAGGGTTTGTTAAATATACAATTTTTTTTTTTTTGATAGTCAGCAAACTTTAAAACGGAAGGCCTACCTTTATTATCGTACACCCAGTTTACCTTTATTATCGTACACCCAATTTACTTGACTGGTCGTTATCACGTGAATTGCTCTTGAGCTCCCCATGTGAAAAATGGGACTTCATTATAGTCGGTTTTGCTAATGAGTCATCGGATGGTTCGACTTATGGAGTCATCCATAATTATATACAAATAGTGTATTGACACGTGTCCTGCAATAAATACACATTGAACACGTGTGACAATACATAAAATTATGAATGACTCCATAACGGAACCATCCGATGACTCCATAGCATTTCGGTTATATCGTACACACAAATTTATTTGAGTGGGCGCTATCACGTCAATTGGACTTGAGGTCCCCATGTGAAAAAAGGACTTTATTATCGTACACCCAATTTATTTGAGTGGGCTCCATCACGTGAATTGTACTTGAGCTCCCTTATGAAGTCGTGGAATGATTAAAGGCATCGAATGGAAATAAGATTATATTCGAATTTGACAAATTATGATTGAATTTAGTGTTATTTAAAAATAATATATTAGTTGTTATTGAAGCATGTGAGTTACTAAAAAAAAAAAATATATATATATATAACAATGTTTGAACTTTATATTTTTATTTTAATTGTGTTAGCGGAATTGTAAGAAAAAAAAAAAGAAAAAGATGAATCCGTGCTCGTTTGTTTATTAGTTGAATGATACTAAGTTAACGAATTGGACCTTGTTCAGAGTTTAATCAATCGAACATACTAATAATTTTTTTTTTTTCG